AAAAAAAAAAAAAACCAACACTCCCCCCCCCCCCCCCCCCCCCGGCAAGGCAGCCCCATGATGCGGACAACAACAATACATAACGCGGTCCCAGCTCCCGGCAAGATCTTCCTCGGACCGCCCAACCCACTTCTCTTGCGCTCTCCCTACACACAGCCGTAAAACAGTAGTAGGGCGTGCCATGACCAAAAATTTATTCGCTCTTCTTCCGCTGGCTGAGCTTGTCGTCGCGGAGCACGCGATCGAACACGAAACACAGCCTTCAGTCCGGACCCCTATTGTACAGCAGCGACAAAATCGAACGGAAAAATGGAACAAAAGACCTAACGCGGGATTGAGTCACCCGGCAGCATCCACATTTACACATAAACGGGGCGTTTGCTTTGCTTCTGTCTTGGTCCTTACATACAACGGGCAGAGGCTCTCGAGACTACGAAGTGTCGTGGTCCCTGGAACCCCCCTGGCGGTGACCCCCCGCCACCGAAAGCACCTATCTTGTCATAAAAACAAAACAAAATCGGCCGCGGTCGAAGATCTACGACCAGAGCAGCCTGTAATTTTCGGACCGCTCCATCTTGCATTGTTTCGCCCCAGCCATCGACCGACCCCGTACGACCTGTTTGTCCATCGCCCCGCGAAGTCTCGACATCACCCGTCAATGCGATGCCGGCAAAAGTTGGCGACGAGGGTCTCGTAAAGGCCTCCGGGCATCATGAACTCCGCCCCCGTGATCGACCCTTCAAGGATTCCAAGACAGCCAACAAACAAATACACGCGAGGGAGAGGACCGGCGGGTCGAGTGCGGCTTGGGATGCTTAGTCCTAACACGTGATCGTGGCGTGTACAGCGTCAAGACTCTCGCGTGCCGTGCAAAACCGTGAACGGAGCAGCACACGAGGCGCTTCCCCGGTCCGAGTGGGGAAAGATGCTCTAGCGAGTTGGGTGTGCCTAGAAACAACATTGATGAGTGCTGGTCAAGCAACTGCGGCGAGTTGATAATCACCGTTCGCATTCTGCATGAGAGAGCTTCGATTTTGGATGGGGGGGGGGGGGGGGTGGACCCCTAATCCGGGATGGCGGGGGCGTTAAAACCTTGGCCCCCCCCCCCCACAAAGCCGGGACGGAACCCGCCGGGGTTTCCCCCGAACAGGGTCTCCCATTACCCAACGCGAAACGTCCTGAGGGAAAGGGGGGGGGGGGGGGTTTTTTTCAAGCGGACCAATTTTTTTTTAACTAAACCCCAAAAATATTTCCCCCCCCGTTCCCCCCCCGGGGGGTAATTTGATC